ATATATATATATATATATATATATATATATATATATATATATATATATATATACAATATTTTTCTTTTACCTAAAGATTTATTTATATGCATAATATTAAAAATATTAAATATAATATTAAAATATGCATGATAATAAGAAATATTGCATATATATTTTTTAAAATTAAAGTATAAAAAGTGTGAGACAATTAGACCCGGTTTCCCCTGTCCAATAAATAAATATTTTTTTTTTCAGATATTTTTTTCCTCAGTATAAAATATATAGATGAATTAATAAATAACGAACACGGAAGGGGAAGATATTCGATCCGTCGCGATAACATTATCAAGAGCATCGCGCCGTCTCCGATCCGGCCGCCGTGAAATTCGCGCGACATACTGCGGCGACGGCGACGGCGACGGCGGATTTATTTTCCCGTGGGTGCCGCACGACACCCGAGAGGCAGCGTCGTATCGCGCTCCTTTTTCCCTTTCCCTTACCTCGTCACTGCGGGGTAGCAGTCGTGATTGAAACGGGCGACCGTGGGATAAATTGCCACGCCGAGATAGACCGGTCGACTGCCGCGGAATCGATGCTGCTCGCTTAGCCGCGTCTCGAAGAACTCGTGGGCATTAAATTGGAGCAGCTGCAGGTTCCTCAGCAGCAGGGCGGCTACGGTGATCTCCTCGGTGCCCGGGATCTCTGCGAACTCGCGGAAAGTTTTCGATATTAATAGCTTCGCGCGCGCATTCTTCCGCTTCGCTCGCGCTCGCGCATGCGCGCGGCCTCCTCCGCGGGAACTTTCAGCGACTCCTTTCGCGAAAAGAGTTGTTGGAATTACGGCTTTATGGTCTCGCGCCGCGATATGCTACGCGAATCTGCTGAATCAAAAGTTCATTCGCGGAGCAAGCACATTTTTCCCCTCTATCTCCCAGCCCGTGCTCTCTCTCTCTCTCTCTCTCTCTCTCTCTCTCTCTCTCTCTCTACCTTTGCCGGCGGCTTTGCGACTACTCGTTCGGCAAATTACCCCGAAGTTAAATACAGTCCGTGAACGCGAGCGTTAGCGGCGGCCAATGTGATAAGTACCGTCGTCCGCCGTGGGGTGAGCGAAAAAGCCGACTCTCTGCAAGCACTTGAGTAGGAAGGCCGCCATCAGCGATCTCTCCAGGAAGTCTTTGCCCGTCCGTCTGTCGTGGTGCGTCACCAAATTGTACGGTCCCACGTCGACGTTCTCGTCGTCGCCATCGCCGCCGTTGTCGCGGGACTTTATTGTGCTCACCTTCTCCTCGTCGTTCTCTTTCGCCTCCTTTTCCTCCTCCTCCTCTTCCTCCTTCATCACTTTCTCCTGCTTCTCCGTCGTCGCCGTCGTCGTTGTCGTCGCGGTAATCCCCTCGCCCCGTCTAGACTCCCTCAGTTTCCTCCGTCTGATTCTCCTCCTGGCCGACCTGCTCGGCGACTTCGCGTCGAGCATATCCGGCGTCGTCACCGCGAGCGTCGCCGAAGGCGCCGCGGCCTTTTCGCCGGCGCACCCGCCACTCTTCCTTAACTCATCGTAGATCCTCAAACACTTGTGCAGACCCTCCTGCGTCACCATCCGAAAGGCGAGCATGCTGAGTATGCTCATGCCGGAGCCTGGGGGGAGAAATTTAAAAGCGGCTTGTAATTACCCCCGTGAAGGGGGCTCGCTTGGCGCTCGAGATAATGGTTCACGCGTATAAAGAGCGGCGAACGTGCTTTCTGTTCTATTTATCAAGGGGGAGGCGCCGCGAAGAGAAATATGATGAAGTTTATTACGTCATCGGCAGCAATCCAGATAGACAGGTGTAAATAAATTTAATAGCAACTTTATATATCAGAAAGATATAGTCAGAAAGATTGCATCTTTTATGTGAGTGATACTTATTTTAGAATTATGTACTAAATAGATATTTTTATTGTTTGGAGAACATTCCAACGCGCTAAAACATATTTTTGAAATTCACCTTCGCTTTGGGGTCTTCCAAGGTGACCTAATTTCGTAGACAATGTAAGAGATTTGAGGAATGTAAGGCAATGTAAAGAATATAAGGATAAAAAAAAAGTAAATAAAGAACGGGTTAGTTAATAGTCAATTGTTCAAAGGCATCTGGTTTTCAAAGCAACAGACTGAACTATTAATAACGTCTTAACGTCAGTAACATCTTAAAGTCTTTAATATCTTTAACATCTTTGACGTCAATAATGCATCAATCATTTGGTATCACCATATTTGCTGAATTAGCTGACTCTAGTTTAATTACCACTTCATCTAAAGAAAATTCTGGAAAATATTATAAGTTTATCTCTTATGACTAGATAGAATCGTCTAAAAACGTCTTGAACTTTAACATCAATAATACGTCATGTTATGCCCTTATAGAAATATCATACTAAGAATCATTGATAATTACTTATTATCCAGTATTTTTAATACTGAAAATAAGTAATTATCAATGATTCTTAGTATGATATTTCTATAAGGATGTTATCTTGTTTGCTGAGTCAACAGGCTGGTTTAGTTAGAGAGCCTCATAGGAAGAGAATGTAAATTCGACCACGATCTCTGATTGGTCCCGTGTGCTGAGTCCCTTACGTAGATATGTGGGAATAAGTTAGAAAAGCAAGGTTAAAGTTGAGATTGGTTTGTAACAATCTTGAGAGTCTCCGTAAGTATTATATTGTTGATCTTAATCTATCAGAAGAGATTTTTCTTTAACACGCATTCAAGCTTCAAATTTAAATATATGTCTCTTTTGATAGATTAAGATTAACAATGTATTACTTACGGATATCTGACTGTTATAGGACGACGAGCCATTTTAAATATGTATTTAAGACACGATCTTAAATATAAGAATGTACTGTAAACAAGCCTTAGTGCGTACTCAGTGCGTACTAGTGCAAGCTACCGAATTTGCTAATAGATAGTATTTATATGGCGGTTAGACTGTTATATATTTAATATCTTACGCAGTTTAATTGATGTTTTAAAAGATGGGATAATAATGACAACAACAACAGCAAACAGTTATGTAGAAATTACTCTTTACGATGCAGAAAGGGAAGAAGAATTTTATATAACACTGTCTCGAGCTCTCAAAGCACAAAACGGTAAGTTGTTATGTTATTGTCGTCAAACTTTTTTTTTATTTGATCATTTCGGTTAATTTGAAATGAATCTGTTAACCATTTTATCTATTATCTGTAATCATGCATTGCATCTGTACATGTGGGTGTGTTCCTCACTTTAAAATAATTTTTCATTGACTTTAAATAAAATATAGATGTGTTGAAAAGTTTACAATTATAATGCTGTTTTTAATCATAATCATAGTGCTGTTTTTAATTTTAAAGTGTCTGCTTTTCACCCTATAATTGCATTCATTTTCTTCTTTTACTGCTTCACTAAAATGTTACAATTAATTACTTGTAGATATTTGCAACAACTTTATTAAACGTTGCACGTCAAAAATGCACGAGCCCTGTTGCATGTTTTAGTGAGAATCTTATTAATATTGTTTATGGTTACGGTCCTATTTATACATCAATTGTTTAATATGTATATGAAACAATATATTCCCAGAAAATTGGCTTGGTTATTATGTCGCTTTCTCTTTAATGTCGGTTGCTAAGCAACTATAGCGCAGCGCTACTCATGGAGCTTTGCGAACACACTCATAGTCGCATCTTATATTTAAAATTGTCTTATCTTTAGATGTTCTGTAATCAATGAAATAATCCGTACAGTATTTGAAGATGAACTAAAGGGGGCAATACCATTTCTCTGGTAAAAAAATCGATTTTTCTTTTTTTACATTTTATTAAATTATGTATTTTTAAGAATCTATTCCTACTTATCGCATTGAAAAATTCGAAAAATTATTTATTATTTGAAGTGGCGCGCAGGTTAAATCCGGCGCTCATCGAGCCGTTTAAAATTTCGTCAGATATATGCGGTCCACGAAGATCCTATGTACCTTAGGTAACAAAAGAACGACTCGAGTGTGTTTGCTCTATGGGTCTGGAATCGCTGATTAGGTTGAAATTTACGTAAGTACTATAAATATAAGCTTAAATAGCGAAACTTTAAACGCGTTTTTCTCAAAACAATTTTTCTCTAACTGGCGCGCACGATTTGAGACAAACTGTTGAACCGATCGACTTCTGCTTATAACTACATATTCAAAACATGTGCTATTTTTGTCCGAACCAGCGAAATTAAAATATATTAATTTTTCCTATTTATTTTCAATGAAAAACTGTCGATTTTTAAGGCGATTTTTCGGGCGTTTTTTTTCAAATACCTACAACTTGCTGAAAAACGATCCGTTTCCAATATCCCTAGTTCCAGCGATAACTGTCCCTAGTTTAATAATCTTTTTGGCTTTCTTGTTTCAGATTAACGAGCCATGAGATATGCGTGAGAAAAAAAATTTGTATAGGCTATTTTTGCGAATTTTTTTTCTCGGAAACTACGCGGCCAATTATTTTGAAACTTGGTACGCTAAAAACTACATATTTTATTTATATGTCAGAATTTTTATAAGTATATACATTGCGAAATATAAAAGTTATTGAAAAACACGTGAAACTGAAATGAGCGGTTTTTGCTCCATAGCGCATATGATATCTCATGACTCGTAAATAGCTTCATTTTTCGGCCGAGAAACGGTATTGCCCCCTTAAGACGATTTTAAATATAAGATGTAACTATGAATACTGTCCCACACAATACAACGTTTAAAATAGAGACGTCTTATATTCCGACGTCTGAGAGACGTCTTTATGTTCCGATTTTAAACTTTGTATTGTGTGGGATATTTGCTGTTCCAAAGCAACAGTATTAATAAATGCTTCCTGCATCTATCGTTCTTACATATATGTTTATGAGAAATCGATATTGCTTGAGAATAACATTGCCAAATAAAGGGTTAAGAAGGGTTAAGAATACTAAATTGAAAGAATTTTTTTTAATTTGAAAAATTACCGAATAGTCATTTGAGTAAAATAACTATAATTTTTACTTGTACATTAGTATTATGCATAATATCTTCACGAATAAAATATGTTGTGTAGTGGTAAATCAAATCTTGTTACATTTGCTTCTGCAAAAAATGTGTACATAATTTGTTGCATATATATATTATGTGTAATAAACTCTACATGTTTTAATCGTGAATAACTATATAACTCTACATGTTTTAATCGTGAATAACTAACGTCGGCTCTTGTTTTATTTCTTTATTATTATTATTATTATATTGTTGAAGGCATGTATAGATATAAAGAAACTAGGAATTAGTGCTGAAAAAGAATGAAAGCTGAAAATACAAAAAGGTTTATGTTAAACTTTTCATATTATGGTTGCAACTAACAACTAGTCTCGGCTCTAATTTCTCTAGTATTGGCTGGCTCGTTATATCTATTGACTTATTTTTCTGTAATATTGCATATTTGAGAGCCTTACAACTTTTTGGTTTATAATAATAAACATATAAAAGTGAAAAATAAATAAATATTATACAATTAATACTAATACACTGTATTAGTTAATATTAATATTAATACTAATTAATAATAATACTAATATTATTAATTAATTAATTAATAATAATACTAATACACTGTAAAAAATCTTGCGTACACAGTACGTAAACAAATGTTCCAAAAAATCCACTCTAAATTTTGTGTCGAAAATAACTCATTCATATTTCCATTCGTAATAATGTAAATAACACACGAATGAATATATAAATGAGTTATTTTCTACACAAAATTTAAAGTGGACTTTTTGGAATATTTGTTTACGTACTGTGTACGCAAATTTTTTTACAGTATGCAAGGTTACTGGAAAATAAAAGTTAACTTTTTAATAAAAAATGTCCGTAAAATAATTACTGTTTTTAATTGGTTAAAATGTTTCGAAAAATAAATATTCACAACATTCATGGAAACTGCATCGAACAACTCGTGTATTGTAATGCCAACGGAACGCGTGTATAACAACTTACCTATCAACAGGGCCAAGATTTTGCACTCGTACTTGTGATACGTTGTCATCGCGTTGTCTCTGCACTTTGTGCCGCAGAAGGCGACGCTGCTGCAGTTCGGGCATCCGACTGGCGCTGTCAGTCTAAAAATTTCCAGATATATTCATAGATCGATCGAGAAGGAAACGGGGTTAGCAGAGGATGTAAATTATGCAAATTGTCGAATAAAAGCCAAGCAGGAACTTTCGCCGTCGTCGCGCGAAAGGATCTCACCGGTTCGTCGCTCGAGGGCCGCGAGATTCAATCGGGATGAGTTTAAATCTATCGATCAACAATTCCGAACAAAATGCACTCCGAACGCGGAGCGGAGCTAACCAGCGAAAATCGATTTGTTAAATGGAGAAGATCGATTTGTTAAGGAAAAAGCTACACTAGAATCTACTAATCAAATTTATATCTTCGACGAAACAGAGTGTCTCTATTTACGATACAAAAATGTAGAGGATATTTCAAACTAGGAAGTTTACATTCATCATTATCATACTTTACATCTACGTGTATTATATAACATCTACGTGTACACAACTAGATGTGAGATGTCGTCTATGTAGATGATGATGTAATCTATGAATGTCATTTAAAGAATATATTTGTTTGTTGAAAAATTAGTTAAAAAATGCTAACATTTTAATTTAATCTTTAGAATCCTGAGATGTTAAATTATGAACATTGTTTCCTAAACAAATTAGAATCCAGAATTCTTTTATTGTATTCTTATCTACAGAGAGAGAATTAATTTACCAATCTATTACATAAAGAATAAAAATTTTATGAAATTTGTTATCATCACATGTATAGTACTATGTTATATATTTTAACAAATTTTTTGCATTTTTATCATGAAGGATTATTCTTTAGTAAATCAAGTTCGCTGAATACGAATGTGATCTCAGAAACTGTCTATCACGTTAGGCTTCCGAAAAAAATAAGGGTATAAATTCTTGAAAACGTGCTTTTGACTGTTTTTATAAATTAGTAACTCATAAACGTGTGAACTATTTCAAGAAGGCCTAAAATTGAAACTTAAATTTTTATATTTTTATTAAAAAGTCGGAAACTTGAAGCGCAACTTCGTAGAACCCATCTTCATAGGGAAATAAAGTATTATCATAAAATACAATAAAATATATAAAAACGTAGTTAAATTATTATTCACACTCAACAAATTTCTTATTTAAAACAGAGACTCAAGTAATCATAAGATTGTAGGCAAAAACATCCCATTTATACATATTATCTTTGAAGAGGATTAACATTATTATTGAAGAGGGCACAAATAATCTAGAATTAAATTAAAAAATTTTATATCCTGCAAAATGAGATTCTGATTACATTTTTGTTATAGAGAAATTATAAAGAGATGCAGTGAGATTTAATAGAGGAGTTTTCGTGGTTGTTGATTATAAATATCTAAAAATGTGTTGGATATAATTTTGCTATTTTGCATAATTTTGTATAATTTTGTATATATTTTGTATAAATATATATATTATATATTTTTTTTTACTATTTTGTATAAATTTATGATATTGTTTTATTCTCCTATGAGGATGGCTTCTACGAAATAGCACTATAAGTTTTCGACTTTTTAAAATGGAGACGAAGGTTCAAGCATCAATTTTAGACTGTTTCAAAGTTGCCGGCGCGTCTGGTTTGTGCGTTGCGAATTTGTAAAAATAACGAAAAACGTATTTTTAGAAAGTTTAAATCTCTATTTTCCCGGAAACCTGACGTGATGGACAGTTTCCGTGGTCATATTCATATTTATCTGATTTACTTAAAAAGGACTCTTTATGGCAAAAATGCAAAATCTTGTAACATAGTATAATTAATACCCAAAATAGGTACAATAATTGTCTTATAACATAACTTAATTGCTGTTTTTTGTATATTTTAAAATAATTTGCAAATATTTCACATAATTTATAACATCTAAAAATGAAAAACGACCGTCTATACATCACGTAAACAAACTGGCATAATCCTAAAAATTAATTAGGAAAAGTTAATATTTTTAGGTAACCTTTAGAGAAAGTCTCGATAATAAATTTGTGAAAACTGTTTTCTAAATAAATTATAGTCCATAAAATTCTTTAGTTACATTTTTATGTTCAAAGAGTTAAATCTGTCACATAGTGAAATGAAAATTCCATGCAATCTGTTATCTTTTTTGAACAGCACATTTATGATTAATACCCAAAACAGATGTAGCAAGTATCTTATAATTGAATTACTCTTTTACTATATTAATTACTCTTATTTATATTTTAGTTGTTCTAATTGTTTAGTTGTTCTAATTTGTGTCTACTCTTTTTTTATATTTTAATATAATTTACAATATTTTACATAGTTTACATTATGTACATAAAAAGAAATTGTACATGTACATACAATGTACATAAAAAGAGATTATACATGCATATACAATCTTATATATACAACACGTAAACGATCCACGTAGACATAATCTTGAAATCTACGGCACAACTCCGACCCAACCGACTAACCGGAAGATCGTGCCGTGTTTTTCCCATTTTTTTGTTGTTTTTAGACGTTTCTCTCTCGGACATCGCTGCAGACGTTTGCGCGGTACGGACGAATTCCGCAGTGAAATTCTTTGCGCCTTGTTTAACGCGCGGCTTTTACCGTCGCGTAATAACGAGTTCCCGTCCGCATACGGTTCGTCACATGCGCCGCTCTCGGGTTAATGAAATCCGTTTTCTCTCTCGCTGCCGTGAGTTTATTCGTAAAAAGCGGCGGGCTTACCGCGGACCCGTAGACAAAGCGAAAGTTACGCGGAGGATTACGCGCCGTCCAAGGATTGTCCATTAAATTCGGGACACGGGCGGAGGAGGGGGATGGCTGAAAGGGGGAAGTCGGCGGGAGGTGGAAGCCGGCGGCAATTTTCTCCTCACCTCGTGTAACAATGCTGACAATGGGTGCCATAGAATTCGGGTAGGAGACAACCCGCCAGCGGTGGCTCGACTACCAGAATATCGCCCGGATGTATTTCCCTGGTTGCGACGGCGTGTTTACCCGCTGCCGCGGTCTCACAGATTCCCAGGGAGTCGGACGACCAGCCAAGCTCGGAATTAACAGCGCCATTTAACGGCGCGCCACCTAAGACACGTGCGGTGTTTTCTTAGAGACTTTTTTTCTCGGCTGTGCGCGCGAGCGCGCGTCCAAGACAAACCGCGAACAAGTTCATCGAAGAGCGCAGATGGGCGGCGTGTCGCTCATACATCCCTCACCGTACAAAATCTTGCGTATAAATATTAAAATTTCCTTATGTCACCAACTTTTGATTATTATTTTAATATAAAATTGACACACAAATGATATGTTATTCTTTTCGTGACGTTTAAATGTACAATGAAAAATTTTATGTTAAATTCAACGCATTTCTTATGTCCAGAACGATCCATTCAACTATTTGCGTTCATGCAACACAAGGTAAATATATTAGAAAATATAACAAATATTGTGTCAGAAATTAATGCAACAAAATTAACACAGTCACTATTTTGAAGCAAATTTTATGCAATATTGATATATCTATTATGTCAAATATAATACAAGATAATGTTATTTTTATAGCGAGAAAAGTATTTTATTTATCTCTTCTTTTTTCATCGGGTTTTTTTAAATATTTGTAAAAAAAAACATGATTTTACTTAAAAAATAATTATTTTTCTATGTGATTATAGTTACAAATTTTTTTTCTATGTAGCATTTGAAACGGAATCGTGTATCTACGTGCAAGTAGACGTCCGAACAGACAAAACGGCACAGCATTCTATAAATTTGTCTTCCTTAGTTCCCGCATACTTTCAGCATAATAGATAATAACATGCAATTTTCCCCACTTGTTTAACCGTCATTTTAAAAAATCCAATCGTTATTTTTAGGTAAAAAAGCCATTAATCTTAAAGCTTATAATCAGTTAGCTGACTTTAAGTCGCAGTGCATATTGTATCTAGTAAGCTTTTATCTATTCGAAGTTTTTATGAAGCATGTAAGTTGATGCAAAGAATTTGTGGTTCCACTGACTAAAATTCACAGCACCAGAATGATTTTAATGCGAGAATGATGGTTCATATCAGAATAAGAAAAAACCAAATATCCACTTTTTCTCGATTGCCTTTGAATTGATATTAACTCTAAAACCCTAAACATCAAAAGGTTATGTAAACCCTAAACATGGATGAATTTTGACCAGTGTATTTTCATTTGCTCATAATTTTCGGAAAAATGATCGAGAAAATTGATTCTTTTTTCCGACTGATGTAAAAGACATTGAGGAATATGAATCTATTAATGTTTCTGCTACTTAATAAGATAGAAACAAATTATAATGAAAAAACAAGACATATGAATAGTAACGTTTAAAAAATTGGTTTAAATAAATGTTACTTATGTTTTGGGTTCCAGAGTTAAAAATACACTTCAAACGGTTAGGTAATACGATTGCGAGTAAAAACAATTATAACAAATCCTGACGTAAACAACACTGTTCCGCTTGGTCCAAGCGATAAGATGTAACGTCGCGATGAAGAGAAATTTCGTTAACGATCGATGGTTCGCTATTCAACGTATATCTTTGGACCTTAACGAAGCGGCGCTGCTTCGTTTTATTGTTAATCCGAGTTATACGCGGCGCGGAGGGTTGCGCTATGATTTAAGAATTCCAAAAGGGATTCCCGGCTAACGAGAATGTGTAAACAAACCGCAATTCCGCACGAAACGCCATTTCCGGTTATCTCGGTCGCGACGCTCGCATGTGGCACGTTGCCCACTGCGGTGCTCTAATGAATGGAAGAAATTACTGCGGTCCGAGGAGGATGTATACGCTCGAACGACTAATCATGATCCGTGAAGCGACGATACCTATGCGATACGGGCGGAGTTCCGCTCTCGCTCACCAAAATGCGCAACAACAAATCCGGCTTGTTGTCGTGATTGCGATCCCGCGATTGCACCTCGTTGGGTTTAAGCTAATTTCGAAAAAGTATTTTCTCCCTCTTCTCCTTCACTGAGAGAAAAATACAGTTGCTTTCGGCGTCAGCTATACTTTTTTTTGTGATTTTAACTAGAAAAATAATTAGAAGAACCATCTTTCTAATAATACTTACTAAAACAATGATTCTTCTAGTTATTTTTGTGGTTAAAATCACAAAAACGTATAATTGACGCCAAAGGCAACTATATTTTTCTATCAGTGTTCCTTCTCCCTCTTCCTCTCTTTTCCTCCTTCCTTTTCTCTTTCCTTTCTCTCTCTCTTTCTCTCCCTTCCTTCTTCTTTCTATTTTTTTCCTATTTTCTTTTTCTCTCTCCCTTCCTCTCCCTGACTCTCTCTCTTTCTCTCTCTTTCTTTCCCTTTCCAGGTAGTTAAACATAACCATAATTTTCGCCAAACAATTAATTGTTTCCCTCATTTGTTCTGGCTACTCACTTCGTCGCGTATTATTAATCAATTTTACGCAACAGTTCGAAAATTATCCGTCTATCGGCCGCAACGAGGAGCGGTCTCATTTTTCGCTTCCACTTACCGGCCGTCACGCAAAATACGACGATTGGTACGCCATGTATTTGCCACGAGCACCTGCGCAATTATGCTTACCTCTGTTTTCTCATTTATCGTTCACGGCGCTCGGAAATTCCGGCTCGCTGCTGTTATCGCACACGCCGCGGAATAATCAGCGAGTCACACATCCGCTCGGATTTCATTCTTCGAATTTTCCGCGCACCGCGCTCGCACAGTTAACGAAACGTCACATCCGCCGTCGGTCGGTCGAGGGGCGGCAGGGGAAGAGAGGGGGAGGGAACGAAATGCGAAAATGAAAAAGAAAGGAAGGAAAGGGTGGGAGGGAAGAGAGGTAGGCAGAAGGGGATAATGCTCGCGGATGAGGACGAAGCGCGCGTTAAAATTGCAGGATCCACTTACTGATTTATGATACGGCGGACCGATTACCGTGAAGAATGCGCGGCGCACGATGAATGGAGAAAATATGCAGTGGCGCGCGCCCGCGCGTGTCAGAGAAAAAATATATATATATATATTTCTTCCTTTCTCTCTCTCTTTCTCTTTCTCTGCACGGAGTATAACACGAATTTATTTTGCGCCGGTAGTAAAAATTTCCATGACTCTTCCGATAAAAAGTAAATAAAATTTATATAACGCCTCTAATAAAGATCTGTCTGATTCACACCGGGGGTGAGGAGGAACGCAGATTTTTATCGTGCGTATTTTCGTATGCGTGTGTGTGTGTATGTGTGTGTATGTGTGTGCACCAGTTTTCAATCTGAAATTCGTCAGAGCTTCTCGCACATGGATCAACGTCGACATACGAGGTAACGCCTTGTTGCGCGTGAGCTGAGTAACCTCTGACAGGGGAGTAATTAAGCCCTATCCCAAAAGAATTGAGATATAAATCAAGAATCTAAAAGTTAAAAAAATTTACATACTAAAAACTATACGTCATATAAACTGTAATATAAAAATCTAAGTATAACTCTTAATAAATTTGTTGTTGCCCCAATAAAACTTACGTTATTATATGATGCGAATTGAATGATTACTTCAATATAGCATGGCAATATGGTAATCGCTTTTTATCTGACAAGACAATTGGAACAGAGGAGGGAGTATGTATATTTGCTTCATAAATATAATCAAAAAGACAGTAGAGTTTCCATCAACAATTGTCTCACGTCGTGATAATCACGAAAGTCTCTCTGTGCTCAATAGCAACACTGTTAATGTCTGTACACACGTACCTTGGACAATCTGTTCACGAAGTTCAGCGTAGGGACTAGAATCCGGGGGTTCCCAGAATCCACAAATTGCGAAGAAAGAAAGAAAGATGTTCGACCTCGACCCCGCGAAGCCATCCCACGCGCACCGTGAAATTTTCGTGTTAGAGCGAATCGCGGCAACGGTAGCAGCCAACTAATAATTTCGTTTGTATTCGCCCGACGCTTTCGCGGATACCAACGCCGCGATAAAGCGGATGATAAGCTCCTATGAGCCGCGCAACGCTCGCGCCCGGTCTTAAGAAGTTAGATCTATCTAAGGGAGCGGCGCTGATACTTCGAACACTCTTCTAATTTGATTGGGCTGCAGTCAGACTCGTGAGTGGTTCCAAAGCGGCGGCGGCGGCGGCGGCGGCGGCGGCGGCGGCGGAACGGGGGCGAGGGTTGAAGTAAATGAAGTTTAGCTACGAACGGCCGCACCTGCAGCAGCACAACCCTCGAATCGCGTTTCCGGCTTAAGCCATGAAGCGCTCGAGGGGTGCTTTGCGGTGCTAGAATTCCACGTTCGAAAACAAAGAAACGCTTGTCTCTGTTTGAGCGGTTGAAACGGTCTGGGGGTGGCTCAGCTCGAGGATACTCTTAACGATCAATTAGTCGGGCGAGCTCGTAGTGGTGCGGTAGTAGTAGTAGTAGTAGAGTAGTAGTAGTAATAGTAGTAGTAGTAGTAGTAGTAGTAGTAGTAGCAGTGGCAGTAGCAGCAGCAGCTCGCATTCAGTCTGCGAGCGCGAAATAATGTCTTTACACTTATTACCGGGGCGATTTGCCCCGCGATAATTTATCCGCCTTTGTTACAATCGCTCGACCCGAAGTGGAATTAATCGCGGATTGCGTCGGAACGTCGTGCAATGCGCGCGCCCCGCGCGTAAATATTCCCGCGGATTTTGCCCGTCGGGATTCTCGAACCGAGCTCGAAATTTTTCGTTTCTCCTCTCCTTTTCTGTTCTTCTTTTTCTTCTACTTTTTCTTCCTCCTTTTCTTTTCTTTTTTCTTTCACCGAAACGTTTAATGTTAAACATCAAGAGATCGTAACGACTGACAGCCTGCCGTGGAGAAGTTTCGTCGCGGGAAAAGTCGACGTCGAGTTCGTCGAGCACTCTTAAAATCAAGTACGCGACTTCGGGCAGGCGGTGGGACAGGGAAGATAGAGAAAGAGAGAGTGAGAGAAAAAAGGAGGGGGCGAGGGATACGGCCCGTATATAACGCGTACACGTGGCGAATAAGAAACGCGGGCGCAAAACAGCGGGAGAATTTATTAATTAATACAAGGCTAATTACTGAAGTTGATGCACGCGAAGTTCGCGTTACGGGGGCTTCGCGAAGAGAGTGGCGCGGAACTCTGACCAAAAAGACTTTCAATTTATTCTCGCCGCTTAGCGCTACGCGGCTCAGCGAATCGGAGGGGTGAGGGGTGAGGGGGGATGAGGGGGCGGCCCGGGGGGAGCCGGGTCGGATTTTCTAAGAAGTTTAGGGAGATAAATGAATCCAATCTTGATGAGTATTAAAAGCGGTAGAAAGTAATGTATCGTCGCAACGCGACGAGACGCGGCCAGCAGAGAGAGAAAGAGAGAGAGAGAGAGAGAGAGAGAGGGAAAAGAGAAAGAGAGAGAGAGGAAAGCTGCGCGACGCGTCTTTTAATTTAATTCCCGGTCCACGGGGCAAACAAAGTTTCGCCACTGCCGGAGAAATTCCAGGCATCTCGTCTGCTACGAGAGTCAAGCCGCTATTCGCACTCGCACCTGAGAGAGCATTACCTGAAAAGCGCGAGCGCTAAGATCGTTTCGCCGTCGCCGTCGCCGCGGAATAAAGCCGAGTCCGCGAAAAATGGTTCATCTTTCTTCTCTCCTTTTTGCTCACGCTCCTTTCGCTGCTGTCTTTCTTTTTCCTCCTTCTTTAGCATCCCGCCGGCGCTTTTAAAGCCGCTCGGTGACGGCGGACGTATAAACGGCATTTGCGCGAATAAACACGCGCGGGATCAAGCCGGGTCGGCCCGTCCGTCATTCGTCGTGCTCTCTCCACGATGACCGGCCACCGCCGTTAATCACGGGGTTATCGACACACGGCATCAAAATTTCATATTTTTTTCCCCTCTTTTTCTGTTTTTAATTCCGATCGATTGATCGCTAATTGCCAGCCTCACAGCGAGTACGAGAGCGCTGCCGCGCGCGAGCGGAGCGTTCGGGCCGTTCCCGTCGCTGGATACACAGCGAAATATTCGCGAGGATATTTTATTATCTTCAATAAAGAGCGGGCAAATAAAAATCTAATTAAACTCCCGCGCCCGGGGTGCTTTTATCCGCGGTTCAATAATCGTATCTCCCGTATTATGGGATACCCGGGCGGTAACGGCCAGTGTGTTTCGTGTCTGCGGATAATTCTTCGAAGGCGTCGTCCGCGTGGACCGACGGCGAACGCAATTTAGATCATCGTCGTGAAGCGATAAACGGGTCCCCATACGCGGCAGTTCGGATATCACGCTAGCTGGTGCACGCAGAACATTTTTGCTCAATAACACGACATGCAATGAGAAAACAAATATCTACAAAATAGTAAATATTCATTTGATGGCACTAATGTGGCATATTTACTTAAATCTTTCTCTCTCTCTTTTCCTCTCTCTCTCTCTAGATTTTCTTTCATTTAAATAGAATAAATAATGATTTTCGTAAAAGAACTAAGATTCTCTTAAGATTTGAAAAAAATACTTTCTTATTTAAAAAATATCTTATATGTTAATATAAGTAAATATGTTATTAGTATCCATCTTGTGTGAATAAATATTTACTATTTTTTAGATATTTTTTTCTCTTACAAGGGAAGGACTAGACGTAGAAACGTGGTTTTGGAATGCGGTTTATACCGAATGTTAGTCTTTTATGTCTATATTAAAAATTCCAAACTCTACCTTCAGACACGCTTTATTTTTTTTTTACTAATTAAAAACAAACTATAATAATTTGAATGTCATCAGATCGATAAATTATTTGGCAGCGTGACAGATTTCAAAGAAAGGAGCAAGAAAGTTATGTTTTATAAATTTTACAAATTTCTGGATTTTTTGTGCCCAAAATGTGATTTTCGCGTAATAAATCCATTGCATGGTGAACAGTATCCGTGATGAACTGTTTATTCATTGCCGTACTTAATGGTAACTTTGATGTTTCAATATCAGTTGCAGCCGAAGCATTTGGTAGGCCAACCATTCTGTCAAAATTGTCAGCTAAAGAAATTTGATGATAACGCTTATCATATCTAACTGTGTTATCTCTGTGTGTGTGTGTGTGTGTGTATGTGTGTGCGAGCAGGTTCTAGCAGTATAATTATAATTATAATTATAATTACGTTGCCTATATATTATATTAATTACTATTTCAATGTTTCGAATCCAGGATTATTAGTCAACGCTCCTTTCCATGGCTATTTGTTTGAAAAATTTTATTGTTAATGAGAATAATAGTGCAAAAAATATATTTTTATATTTTTTGTCTTTTATGTGACATTTTTCACAACCATCAAATGACATATGTTCTTTTATCAATTTTTTTGTAGTTGTACTGTTTTATCAGATTCTAAGTTTAAGCTATCATGATTATTTTCATTTATATTATTACCACCAATATAGTCTGATTTGTTCTCTTTTTCTTTCGCTCTCTCTCTTTGTTTTTTTTCTTTTTCTCATAGCAATGAAATTTTGTATTATTATCATATACCTCATTTTTTTCTTTTGCATTTTCATTTCTAATTGTCATTTTTATTAAAAAGCTTTATATTGTCAAATTTTCTCCTTTATAGTTTTCTATATGTTTACTCATTGTTCATGCAATTTTAAGCTCCTTTTAGTACTATAAATATATTTTATTTATTTTTATTTTTATTTTTCATTTAGTATTTTAAATATATTTTAAATTTAGAGAGAGGTATTATAATACGTGCATATTATAAAATTTAATTATTACTGATATGTCTTTTGGAAAGAATCGGCTTACATATTACACGCTTCAATCACTGAATAAAACTCAAATTTTTTCGTGTCCTGTATTCACGTAGTATTTTTTCAACTAATGAGAATGCATTAATATTAAATTTAATATTAGACAATAACGGATAAAACTGCAAATCTAAGCAAACTACATACATTTCTACTAGCATAAGTAAATTTATTGAAATAATTAAAAAAAAATCTGTGGAAGAAAACAGAATTTCTGGTTTTATTAAGCAAATTTGGTTTTGAGAACCAAATACTGTTTTCTCCAACCAAAACGCGTGGTTTACTCGTTGTTATGCTAATTCAACTGAACTGTTTTCTTCATCTAATATTAACTTTTCAGTAATCATAGGTATCTCAGAGGTGCCGGGTGACTTCGTTTTGATACTGTGCAAAATGCGAAATAGAGTAATATAATAGTGCAATATGTTTCCTATCTTCTTATTCAAAATGACTACATAAAATTGTGGAAACTGATACAAGGTCGTTTCTTAAAAATATTGCTTTCCTTTCACAATTAATAAAACATTTAATAAAATTTCCATTTTCTTTCCACAAAGCATGCATCTAGAAGATCAAAGCAACATATGTATAAAAAACGCATTTCAGTATAAGAATTTTTTTTTACATAGATTATATAGTCATTGAAAAATTTCTACATACTTCTTAGAAAATATTATTTCTGCTTACAATTTCATATTTTTTGCTTTCTAAATTTCTCATAGATTTTCATAGATTCTCAAAGATTTTCTTGAACTCTTTTTTTCTTACATTATAAATATGCCTTAGTCGGGTAAGAGTATTTTAATGCTTCTCTGGTTAATAAATGTTTGCATCTTCGAGAAAAATTCTCCGCATGCAACGAGAATTTACGATAATTCGCCGAAACTGCGGCGTCGTTTTAACGCTGGATATAATTAATCCACATTAAAATAATTAACAGTCTCCCCCCATCTCTCTCTCTCTCTCTCTCTCTCTCTCTCTTTCTTTCTTTCTCTCTCTTCCTATGTTTCTTCCGCGCAGGAGCGCAAACAAAAAGTCACTTTAATCAACGCTGAAAATTCGCTAGTAGCCATTTAATCAAGATCGAGTCAATTTCACCGAGTGAAATCTGTATGAGGTATCCGCGAGGTATCACGGGAAATAAGGTCGCCCGTGGGCGACTGAATTATTCTCGAATAATTCGCGGACGAGATATCATTTTGTACGAGATACACGCCCTCGCGGGAGGATCGGACGCGCGGATATCGACGACGCTGATCTCGGACGAGTGTAGGAGAGCAGGGTGGCCGAGAGGACGGGAGAGAAGAGAGAAATCCAGGGGTGCCTTTCGATCGACGTCAGTCCGGGCCGGTCCGGTCGCGTGCACGAAACATCGGCGAAATAATATTGTTTCCGCATATACCCGTTGGCCGCGCGTGCTCACGAATGCATGGAATTGTTCGACGGTCTCTCTTTCTCTCTTTCTCCCCTCGCCCTTTCTCTCTCTCTCTCTTTCTCTCTCTCTCTGCCGCCCTCTTTCTCTCCCTTTCTCCGTCGACGGCACGCCTCGTTTGCGCGGGAAATCCGATATTTTCCGACATGGTATTTGGCGCTCAAATGATGCGCGCGCCAAGTTATCGACGTCGATTCGTCTCTTTGTACCTAAACGGCCGTCAGCTACACCGGAGCCGTGCCGGAGCACCGGCCGTAATTGGAAAGTGTCTTTTTGTTCCCCTTCTCGATTCGTTCCCCCTTGCAAAGTTCGTATAACCTACCTACCTACCAACCTACCTACCTACCCTCGTCCTCTCACTGCGCCGATACCGCGTCTGATTTAAGCACTATCGACGCATTCCTACGTGGAATCAATCCGAGTGGGAAAACCAAGCGGGAAGAATTACGCGCGGCCGTCTCCACGCGTTTCATCCGCATTAACAACGCTGGAACGAGTCAATACTCGAGACGGAATTTTGGTTCAGTATTAATCTTACAATCGGTTGGAACAACCAAAAAATATAGTTGGCACCAAATTGGCACCCAACTATACTTTTTGGTTGTTCCAACACGAAGATAGTAGTAGTAACATGCATATAAGATTATTATCACTAAAATTATGATGCAATTGACTAAAAAATGGTTGTCTTGACTATAATTCATAATAATTATTTCTCTATATGATTATAGTTACAAATACCAAATATTTTTCTCTCAGTGCAGGATACGTCGAAGAAGAGTGATGAAGGGGGCAGAAAGAAGGACACGGGGCTTCGTGAAATTAATAAAATATCTAGTTGATCTGAGTCCGTTCGATAGTCGAGGATTTTTATCTCTTCCGGATTTCGTACAAACGATGTGCGCTTTCGGAGATTTTCTCGCTGAGCGGTGCAACTATCGTGAATGGCAATTGGCGAGTGGTTTTTATGCATTCAATGCGCTCGTGTGCGTAACTTCTTCGACATTTTCCCCGCGGAATAAGATGCATTGGGGGAGTTCGATAGCTGCTCCAAGTTCCCCTTAAGGTAGGTTGAAAAATCGCCAAATAACGTACATAGGGGCGATGTTATGCGAAACGTTTTGCGATTCATCGATTACTCCAGAGTTCATAATAACGATTCCATCATTCGTATTTGACTACTCGCGCGCGCGTTTCGAATTTCTTTTTTGACGTTTCCTGATACGCGTTATTTCCTCGTTTAAGTATAGCCATACTTTGCTTGTTTCCAAACGTGCGAGTATATATTTGCTAATTAAGATATTCAGGAGATAAAACATCTTTGCTGCGCGTGAAAGCTTAAATTTAAAACTCTGTAACTCTTTCGTATAACCTTTCTTAATATCTTATTATGAAATTTAATATTTTATATATTATATATTGATAAGGATTTTGTATAAATTTGGAAACAATAATTTATATTATTATACAATATATTTGGAAACAATAATTTATATTATTATACAATGTAAAATTTAATATAATGTAAATTTAATTACTAATTTTATCAATTTGTCTCATAAATGTAATTGAAAAAATTATAATGTTTCCATCATTCAGTTATCTCTCGTTCTGATAATGATGAAAATCTCTTTGGAACCACATTCGGAACGAAAAGGAAGTAGTATTTAATCAAAATACATTATTTTTCATACGAGATAATTCTGTCGCGGCCACCTCCAATCTTTGTGACGCGTGCTGCGTTCTGTATAAATTGGGAAACGAGAAAATAATGATGGGGTAGCAGTTCTTTTTGTGAAATCTTGCTTTTCTCATGATAACATCTTATGAAAATATTTGTGAACGGAAAAAGAAGAAATATATTCTTAATCTGCAATAAATTCTTTTGTCGTTATCATAGTCGATTTTTATCTAAAAATTGTGACTATAGCCTGTCAAAGTTTATTTTACAAAAAATACTTTCTTAGAAATATATCTTGTTAACAACTATGATTTGAATAATTATTTCAAAAGTTAGTTTCGAAGAGCTTGTTGAAGAAGTAGATAATAGATGCAGGATTAATGTAGAATCCAAGCTTCGACTGGGATATCGAAGGTGCATCATTGTGAACGTCCGTGTGTCCTATCATGTGATAGCGCGAGAAAAATCTTCTCCGTGAAACGTCAAGCCGTCCACGGGACTTCTCCGTTGCGGAGAGATATTCTCGAGAATTTAGTCGAGACTGTCACAATCGACACGCGAGAGTTTTCACGTTCTCGAGCGTGACTCTAATCGAGTTTAACGAACTCGTTCGGCACGATCGAATCCGCTCCTTCCAATGCGCCGGCGAAATTATTTTTATTATTTCGCGAGTTATCCGCGTTCGCGACGAGCTGAGCGATAGGAGATGGAGGGCGAATAAAAAGGAAAAGAGGGAGAGAGAGAAAGAGAGAGAGAGAGGGGAGAGGGAGAAAGAGAAAGAGAGAGAGGGGAGAGAGAGCGAGAGGGGGAGAGAGAGAGAGAGGGAAAGAACGAAGAAGCCCGATAGAATTATCCGCGTCTAGACGAATCTCGTTACGAAGAGACGAATGGAGAGTGCCGGAAACGGCCGCTTGCGACCTCCGACACGCGTATAACGTATGTTATCCTGGTTCACGTCGCAGCACGCGTTACAAAGACGAGGTGACCGCGACAGAATTATCTCGTATGAAAAATAATGCACTTTGATTAAATACTACTTCCTTTTGGTTCCGAATGTGATTCCAGAAGGACTTTCATGATTATCAAGACGAGGAATAACTGAATGATGGAAACATTACAATTGTTTCAATTACATTTATAAGGCAAATTGATAAAATTAATAATTAAATTTACATTACATTAAATTTTACATTGTATAATAATATAAATTTTTTGTTGTATTAATGCGATAATAGATTTACTGAAACTTCACATTTTATAGATTTTACAGGTGAGACTGTTTTGAGCAGATTTTGATGACTCTTGTCGTATGTCTTTTCGTAATTCTATTTCGTCGTTCCTTGTGATAAGTACAAGCGTCACATGAAGCATTCATGAGGGACGCAAACTTTTACAAATCGGCTAGTGAAGCTCCCGAATGGACTTTCATGATTATCACGACTTGAGGCAGTCGATAATGGAAATCTTACAATTCTTTTAATACATCGGTGAAGCAAATATTGGATTTACATCTGTATTGAATTTATATCGTCCAATGTAAATTTTTTGTTGTATTGATGCAGCGACAAACTTAATAAAGGTTACAGTCAAATTTTCACCATTTTTATGACATATTGTTTCGGATATATTTTGGTAATCTTTTTATTATTTCTTTTGTATTTATATTTCGTTATACTATCTTATAAATACGAATGCTATATGAACCACTCATAAGGAAACTGACTTTTGCAAATCGACTAGTACAAAGTTAGCATCAAATTTATATACACCTGTCTATCTGAGATAGAGCGTCTCGATCTCTCACGAGAACGCGTGACAGCATCTCCCTCTCTCCCTTCTCTTTCTTCCTCTCTTCCTCTTTCTCCCTATCTCTTTCTCTCTCTCCCTCTCGACTGTCAAGTTGTGAAAAGTTTCTTTTTTTCACGGTCGGGAATGAAAGAGGGAGAAAAAGACATGGATTCGCGCGAGGACGCGAGCGAATCCGAGGCGTCGCTCGAGCGGCACGCATTATATGTTTGCATATATTTGCGGCAGCCTCTCTTCCAAAGGAATATCGAATTAAGCGTTTCCCGGGAAAATCGACTGTGTGGGTTACCATGGAAACCATAGCCGGCCCCGTGTTTCGCTTCTCAACCCGGCGGCCGCATTCCCGCACGGATTCAACGTCGGATCGGAACCGGATCGCGTCCGACGTTTCGTCAAACATTCCGATATACGGGTTTGCGGATTTTTAGGCCGGTGATTGCATTCCCGCGCTTTTCCCATCGGCGCGTCCTACCCGGTGCCTGACCCAACCCGGACTGAATTCGGCCCGGACTCGGCTTGAATCCAATCTGGAATCTAGTTCAGACTAACGCGGATCACTCTTGATCCTGTATGGATCAACGTGTGTCGATCTAAATGTAACTCGACGTATATGCGACGCGATTAGTGGATTTTTATCTCTTTCTCTCTCTCTCTCTCTCTCTCTCTCTCTATATATATATATATATATATATATATATATATATAATAGAATGTCTACTGTCTATCTGTCTTTTGCACGTTTCCTTTTAACTCCTAAACCCCTTGATCGATCTAGAACAAATTTTGCATAATTATTTTCTAGGACTCTGCGGAAAATACAGGTTATCATGAAACCTGGACACCTCTCCCTCTGATTCATCCCCTTTGTAGTAACCCAGGCAACACACCGTTTAGTTTAAGTTAATTAATAATTGATAATTGAAACGTGTGTGATAAACCAACGAATTTTTAAACGGGCAATACCTTTTCCCAATAAAAAAAGAATAATGTATAATCTAAAATGTATAATCTAAATATATTAATCTAATTATTATTCACTTTATGTGTGTACACCTAGATAGACTTCTATTATTATCGTGAGTAGTACTTGAACTGATTGCTTGCTATTTTGAAACAGGCCTTCTTCAAATACTGTTTTATGCTAGTAGGTAAAAGATGACTTTTTAACTAGTATATATCAGAAAACTTTATTTTAAAAAGCTTCATATAAAAGATATAATAATTTTTTTTTAATTTCTCCCATAATAGATTCGTTTACCCTAAATGTCACATGGATCACTTATAAGGAGTTCAACTTTACCAAAACTTTACAAATCTACTAGTAAAATTATTGCCAAAGCGTGCGACTAAGTTCGGTCCACTTTATTCGGCCTACTTCATTCAAAAAACAGTTTCGTAGCCAAATTGGTCCATTTTATAGTTTTTGTACGCTGATTACAACTATGCAAATCCAAAAATAGACCGACGTATCGTTCCAAAGGAAATGGTCCATTTAAAATCGCATCCTATTAGGATACGCTACTTATTTTCACAAAATAAAAATATTAATTTGCAATGCAATTTACTTTTGAATAGCTCGCGTTTGACCTTTACTGATGGTTACAAAGTCTAATCAAACGAGCTAACTGATCCCATTTGGCTGTGTCAACCCATTTGACTGTTTGAGAACCCACTAGAACACATCGAACACCAATTCAGAGCCAATTTAGTTATATTTTTTCTAGGGATAATATCCGGAACTGTCGCTGCGACTCGCTGAAGATGATCTTATCAAATTTTCACTTTTTATTTGTGAAAATATGTGGCGCCATCTAGTAGGTTGCAATTTTAAATTTTTCCGGGAGCATTTTCTCTGGAACGATATGTCGGTCCACCTTGGGACTTGCGTGTTCGTAATCAATGCGTCAAAAATCATAAAATAAAACTAGATTCAAAACTTTCCTCTGAATGAAGTAAGCCGCTACACTGAGAGAAAAATGTATGATATTTGGAACTATAATGGCATAGTAAAAAGATTATAGTTAGGAATATAATTTTTATAGTAAATGTTACCATAATATTTGTAATATTTACAATATAAACATAGTATAACTGATCCGTGTAAAATTTTACCAAGAATTATAATTATATGAAATTTTTAACAAGAATTATAATTATATGAAATAAAAAATATAATAAGGTAGCAAATATTGAATGGTAAGAGAAATTAACTATTTTATAGTCAATACAATTGGAATATTTGGCAAATATAGATACATGTAACTATATTCCCAAAAGATGCATATGTATAGAGCAATAAGATGGTGACTATAAATCTGTGTTCATTCTACTATATCTTCATGTTTAGATGAATTATAAGTATATGTTTGAGGCCAAAACGAACTATAAAATATAGTGAGATTATAGTTATTCCAACTATTTTTTTCTCTCAGTGTAGCGTATAGGTGTACTTGGCCGCATTATTTCATGTACAGCTGTCTGTGCGGCTATTTTCCGGCGTGCGCAACAATTTTTCAACCGTTTCCCTCGGAGAAGACGACGCGGCGATGGGAAGGATTTTTTAATCGAGTTCGTAAAAGCCATCTTCATCCCCGTTTGCCCTTCAATTGCGTTTCCGCTATATTTTCCGCGCTCCGCCAGTGACTCTTTTTCGGCGCGCGCGCTGGCCGGCCGACCGGTCGGCCGTATTTTAGCGGATACCGTGAACAAGAGAGCCGCGCGCAGGATCGATAGCCGGCGGAGTGACTTGCGAGATTAAGCTCGTTACTGTATCGCTACCGAATTATTCTTGCCGCGATCGCCGGGCGTTCGCGAACTATCAAGGATCAATACCCCGCTCGCGCGCGCATAGTTCAATCCTAATGCAACTTGCCAGAAGTTTCGGGGGAATCAGACATAAAGCCGTACACCGATATCCCGACGAGCGAGCGCGGCTGGGCGGACGGACGGATGGACGAACGGGGTGTGCGGACGCGCGGCGTTAATCCGACCATAGAAACTCGAATCCGCCACTCGATGGAATAAAGCGCGCGCTTTTGTCCCCCGCTTCTCGGCACCGGCAACCGTTCGTACAAACGTCGCGGCTGTTTTGAGACTCGACGTCAACAATCGGTTACCCTCCTACGTCCGTCATCCGGACGAGTGGCTCGATATTTGGCTGTCGGAGCGAGTTACCGAACTACGCTGGATAATTCTTAATCGTGCGTGGTTCCGTCAAGGGAAGATCCGCGGGGTATCACGGCTCTTCGGGGCGTGCAGCTTTTGCCTGCAACGTATCGGGCTCCCGTATCATGCGGATAAGACTCGTGCTGCTTAATTAACTTTGTAGCAAAATATAACCTGCCAGCACAGGAGTTCAAATAGGAAATGATAAGCGAGTATTATGAGTATGTGTAGATAAGCGTTACTGTGAATCTCGCTCCTTTCGTCCTCTCGTCTGTGTCTCTTTCCCTTTGGTCGTATCTCGTTTAGTACGTTTCTGACCAACGTCACGTATGCGTTACGGTGATAATACTTCTTTGTGCGTCCACTCGGTAAATCAAGACACGATAGTATCCGGCTTGATCCATTATCAAATGTGAACTGGCTCGCTTTGTATTTATTTTAGTAAAGTCAGAGCGCGCCTGAAACGGATCGTTCTCTTGTCAACAAAATGATTGTCAACAAATAAGCTCGGATCTGCCTTTACAAATTGAGTACAAATTGAGTTGGATTATGTTTGATAATGAATCGTTTCGGATATTAGCGGGCCTTGATTCGCAGGACTCTGATGTCCACATCATACAGGATGTCCAATAATTATTGATACACCCGTGTGCAGATAGAACTCATCAAACGAAACACAAAAATTTTCTATTATTTCGCAAACAATCACGTAAAATTTTGAGTTTTTAATTAAAGAAAATTGATGAATGTGTGTGATATGGCAAATGACCTGCGATGATCTACTGTCGTGTGCTAGCATATTAGATTAAACTGAACAAAAAAGTTCTCTGCTGCTTTGCAAATAACTACGTAGAATTTAGGTTGTTAATTAAGGAAGATCTGTATTTACACGATACTTATTTATACACAATAATGCACAGCTTATCTATAGTATCGCATGTGATTATTCACTAAACTTCTTTAATTAATAACTCGAAATTTTACGTAGTTGTTTGTGAAATACTAGAAAAAGAGTTTCGTCCATTTTGGGCCATTCGCGTCGATCATATATAATTTCATCAATCATATATAATTTTGTAGATAATAATGATAGTATTAAAAAAAAATAGTTTTAGACCCTCAAATCTCCGCCGAAAGTAGTTTTCACCTTCTAATGATGTTATTTTATTTTATTTATTTCGATAGCTCATCATCAGAGCTGTCTAACATAACAAATATATTATTGCTATGCTCAGAAGGTATCTGTATATTATTAGAAAGGATATTTAGCATATCCTAGATACCAAATTATTGACATAATAAATGGAGACAGCAACTCGAATGGAAACTTTACAGTTCCTTTAAATGTTTTATGAAGTAAATATATTCTATAAAATTAATTATAAAATTTATATCATACATAATTAAAACAAGTGAAATATAGCCAATAAGGACCATTCGCCGGATGTTAGTGCAAATAATTTTAAATTACAGGAGAATAACAATGTTTTTGAAATTATAATAACGCATGTGACGAATATTTTTCAGCGTTGCAACGTATGCGATAAATCATTTTTCATTTCAAACTATTTTCTGAATTTTATTTTATT